AAAAAAAAAAAAAGCATTTTCTACTTACTGAAATCTGCTCAGTTGGGACCCAAGGCCACTGCCACTTGGCAAACGTTTCTGAGGTTTATACTAACTCAAGCAGGCTTGCGTAGATTTTTGCTTTCAGCGTTCATGGTTACAGTTCCAGCAGAGGTGGTGTCATATCTGCGTTCCAGATCCGAAAGGTTTCACAGCTTTGAAGCAGTTTTAACAACATCTGAATTAGCTGAGGTACAATCTGCCCAGCTGCAAGCACACACACACACAAAAAAAAAAAAAACCCTCCAAAGAGCGAACTCCGGAATGAATTTCCAAGTTTTCTCCATTCGATCTGACCGCACTGGAAGGGCACGCTTTAGGACACAGATCAGCTGGAGCGGGGCCGAGCCCCAAAGCGAGCAGGACAGACCAAGGCACAGGGCAGCAGGCACAAGGGTCCCCACCGGCCCCGCGGCAACAGCCACACCTCAGCTTTGGCATCCCCTGCACAGAGCACGGGCGCTGCCACAGCGCCAACGGGCCACAGGACACCGCGTTTCTGGGGGTTTTCTGTGATTTTTCCAAATCAGCTCTTGAGCCGATTTAGCCAGGCTGACCCCGTGCACGCTCCCAAGAGAAGAGGGCACAAACCCTCACGACAGGCACCCCTCAGTCTGTGCTGTGGCTACCGGTAAGAGGCACTGGTGAGACACGGCTATACATCAAATCATCAGAGCTCACCGCCTATTTACACATGGATGGCAAGGAGCTTTAAACCCGAGGCTTCACGGGATGAGGGGAGAAGGCTGTCAAAGGGTTAAGTGTTTCCTGCCTTTAATCTGAAATCACGTAATGTGGAATGAATGTTTCAGCTCAAACTGTTTCCTCACTCTGACGGTTTCATGGTGTGAGGTCAAAGTGTGGGAGCGATGGGATGAAAAGAGGGGGAGCGTGGAGCGGTGAGCTCGTGAACCCAGAGAAACACACAGCCAGCCAGAGGAATAAAAAGGATGGTTTCTCAAGCAGCTTCAGCCCAGCTGGAAGGGCCAAGGGAGTCTACGCCGCCGTGACACACTCGCTATTTCTCAGCTCCCCAGCTCCACCCTGCGGCCCCACAGCCCCTCTGGGGACTCGGGACTGATCCTTCAACACCAGCCCCCCCAAGATGGGAGGTATTTACCGCACTTGGTGCTTTCACAAGCACCGGGTTTTCAAACACAGCAGGTCCGAAGGAAGTAAACTGGGGACAGAGCGAACAGCCCCAGCAGAAACCCTGGTCACAGGGAACTGTGGTGGAGAGGCTCACCGAGGACCGAGTCCCAGCGTACCAGGTAAAGCTGAACGCGCCGGACAAAGCGGAGCAACTTTGAACTGAGCCTGCCCACATCCCAGATAAAAGTTCCGGGATCTTGCACCTCACCTAGCCTGCAGAAAACATCATCTATAACCCCCCCTCAAACCACTAACTGCAGAGTCTATCGACAGAACGAGAGTCAGCTGCAGAGGACGGTGGTGGCAAAGTCTCCAGCAGTTACTACCGTCACATCGACATGTGCCGCTGTCCCGAGACAGATGAACACTCAGCTCTGAAAGAACCCATCTTCTGAACGCCAGGATGGGTGGGACAGCAGTTCTGAGACGCTCTGTCACAGCACCAGACCGTCACAGAACACCATGACATCCAGCATGGCCACCCGTGACAGGACAGCACCAACAGCTTCCCCTGTTGCACGCCCTTCTCCGAAATCAGAGTGACAAGGACAGAAACCGCAAGAGCAACCCTCTGCCACAGAATCCGGTGGCTACCCCCTGCTTGTTCCGGTAAGGGGAGTCCCATCCACCCACAGTCAGGGTTTTTCAGTGCCCAGGGGAGTTTAACCCCGCGGGTTTCAAGGTGTGCGTTGCTCCGGTCGCCCGCCGGAAAAGCCACGCTCTAGAACAGACTACACCAGCCTTTTCACATGGAGACTTTTATTCTCACCGAGATCTGTACATTCAAGTCGCACATACTTTTTAAGTCTTTGATGGAGCTGGAGCACGGGACAACAACAGCCTGGTCTGCTTGAACAGTTTTAAGAGTTTATGCCTCAAAAGTAGCCAGGAAACTTGTGACTATTTCCTTCAGCTTAGCTTCTGTCTGGTCAGAGATCTTCCCTTCGGTCCTGTTGAAAGAGCTTAGTTAAACTTCTGACGCAGGAATAGATACATGGTCAATCCCCGACCAAGGCAAAGGAAAGAATTTTACAATGAACCGTCCCCATTTCTAACAAAATTAGCAGATGAATTAACGAATTTCCATTTGATGCATGAAGCTGTGCCACTGAAACTAAGGTAACATCCCTTCTCCTAAAAAAGTTAGTCCTGTTTGAGAGCTAAGGTTTGTCAACAAACACTTTCAGAACAGCAAGGCTCTGTCTAGCAGAGCTGTGCCTCGGCGATGGAAGAAGGCACATGACGTGGCTCATGACTGAACAAGCTGGGACCAGTTTACAGGACAGGGCTATGGAAACACTCCGTCCCCAGCAGCCCACGCAGCGGCAGGGACAGCAGTGAGCAGCACTTAACCCGCAGTACTGTAACAGCTTAAAGCTGCCAAAAACAGGGGAAGGACCAGATCAAGTGTTCTTCACATCGGATTTGGAGGGGTATTCAAGGAGGTTCATTTTAAGCAGCAGCTGGATTTCTGAAGACAAGACTGGGGACACGGAAGCTGAGCTCTGGAGAGCAGTGCAAGGACAGCAGGGAGGCTGACTTAACCTCCCGTTCTGGCACAGGCAGCTTAAGGCCTGGTGTTCTAGGATAAAGTAAACTAAATTACCAGTTCAGTGACCATTATCTGCACTCCAGCCATCACGTCAACACCCTTGGGATGAAGTATAATAAATCCTCATACCTGATTGTGGAAAGGAGGGCCTGGTGCTGGCTCAGTACGTGAGCTAGGAAAGCACTCTCAAATTTAGTGATTTTGCTGGGCTCCAGCTTGTCCAAGTGACCTCTTACACCAGCGTAGATGACTGCAACCTGCTCCTCAATGGCCATGGGAACTGCGGAAGAGAAAGCAGTTACGCCACCAGTAACTCGCATCGGGACACGTCAGTGCTGCACCCAGCCCCCCTCTGAAGATCCACTGCACATACCGACACGGCTCGAGTACACACCTGCATCTACCACATCCTTAGAACGGACGTGCTAAATGCTCCCACAAAGACCAGCTTCGTTAGCAACAACAGGCTCACGGGAAACACGGACCTGTTGTGTCCGAGAC